ATAAACAAAATCTACTTTTTTTAGCCATTGTCTCATCGTATTTTTCACCTCCAGGTAAATAATCCGCATCCATTATAAAATCATTATCGTAATCAACATTGTCTTCAGAATCGTCCTCTTTTATTCTTTCAGGATTAGAATCCTTGTATTTATCAATAATATCTTCAATATCCTCTTCCCATTCTGGTTTATCAACATCTACCTTAATAATAGAGATAATACGTTAAGTTTTGTATATAAAAACAAATATTGAAAAATATAAAAAATACCTCTTGAGCATAGTAATTACTATCAAAGATATTTTTCATTTTTTCGTCATATTTTTCAGGATCAAAGCCTTCTTCCAAGTCGATCTCATCAAATCCAACGGCTAAATTGAATCAGATAGTTGATTATAATTCTAATTGTAATGTCACGATAATAAGACAATGAATATTGATGAGTACTTTCGTTTCCCGTTATTTCTTTTATTTTTTGCAATTTTTCAAAGATTTCTTTCTTTTTGAGGTTTTTAAGCCTTTTAAGTTCCTCCATTTTACGTTTCTTTTCGTCATTCTTACGCTCAGAGCGTATCTGGCGTTGAATTTTGCGTTTATTGTCAGATCTATGTAAAAAATTGAAATAGTTAATAATAAATATAAACTTTTAAGAATTAGTGCTGAGGCAATATATATACCTTCGTACAGAATCGACCACATCACGGGAATATGAAGCGACCTTCGTTCCACCTCTAAATTTAAAAAATTGGATTAATTAAATTTAAATAGGACTAAGTATTAAATATAAAATTGTCAATGATAAATTATAACTTACTCTTCTTCAAATCGAAAATTGTACTTGCTTTCGAAATTATCAGCTGCTTCTTCAAATTCATCATTCTCTTTGTCATGATGTTCCAAAATTAGTTCTTCATACGTCGGAATCCGAGTAGCATTCTTATCGATCCAACCACGGTTAAGTATATAACTAGAAGATAAATCATGAATATTTTAAAGGGAAAATTTTATATGAAACAAAAGAATTCATACTCTATTAAAAAGGCTTCATCTTTGTCAACACTGGGATCGATTTTATAATTTTGCCATTCTTTAATAAATTCTGAGTCTTTACTATTTCCCTAAAATATATATTATATATTTGGATAAGTATATAAGTATTATATACACGTTGTTTTAATAAGTAAACCAACAAAATAAATCGAAGAAACAAACTCACAGCCATACTTTCTAATAAGAATGCTTGGTAATCTTCTTCTTCAGTTTTTAATTCTTCAGCAGTTTTTGATCGTTGAACCAAAAAATCATCGTCACCATCAATATTAAAATCAAATTTAGAAGCGGCTTCTTTAAATTCTTCTTTGAGCTTTTGCTCTTCTTCCATGGGTGTTAAATCAATCTCTGGCTTAATATTATCTTCAATCATATCATCAGATTCCAACAAAATTTGACGATGATAGTCTTTTAAATGTATTGGCTTTTTTTCTGTCTATGTGCATATGATAAAGAATCAATGTATTAACATAGTTAACATAATCAATATACTTTAGACTGTAAATAAACATACTTTTTTCTTTTGTTGCTTATCTAACCAATTTTGACGCGCCTTTTGTATTTCTTCATCTGTAATTAATTATTGTAAAAAGAAAGTTCAACTACATTAAAACATTACAAATTGCTCGTATACTACCTGCAAAAAAAATTAGACTTCAGGTCATAAACTTTAGGATCTTTGTTTCTTATGGCTGAAATAGTCTTCATAATTTGCGAGTCAATTTCGGGGGTTACTAATTCACCATATTCATCTTCCTCTTCAGAGGATGAATCTTCCTCTTCGTCAAAGTCCAGATCTCCATATTTCTCTTTAACTAGTTATTTTAGAGGCATTTTATGTCAAATCTCTGGGGATCGTTAACGTTTAGATAAATAATTGTAGTATAAAAGTTTGGGTGGACCTACTCACGTTTTGAAAGCTCTTCTC